CTCCCAAAGAGCTGGGATTATAGGCGCGAGCCACTGCACCTGGTCAAAACTGCGCCTTTTGTCTCTCTTTTAAAATGACTCCTGGAGCGCTCAATATTATCTATCTGTATTGTTCTGTCTCTGCCTCTGTCGTTCTGTCTCTGCCTCTGTCAAGGTCTCTCTTGTCTCACTCCACTTGTGTGTCTCTGTCCCTTGCCTCCCTCTGTGACCCAATGCATCTCTTTGTCTCTTGACTCTGTCTCTCTCTGTGTGTTTGTTTCCATTTCTGTTTCTCTGATCCTCTCTATCTCCTTGTATCTCCCTGTCTCTCTAGGTCTTTTGTCTCTCTGTGTCTCTGTCTCTCTTTGGTTTTATTTCTTCTCTTTCTCTGGATCTTTTCTTCTTTGTCATTCTGTATCTATCTCTGCCTCTATCTTTCTACGTGCTTGTTTCTCTGTCTCTGTGTATATCTCTCTGTCTCTGCCTCCAGCTCTCTGTGTGTCTCTGCATCCTTCTGTGACTCCATGTCTCCTCCAAGTCCCAGTCTTTTTTTTTTTTTTGAATCAGAGTCTCACTCTGCTGCCCAGGCTGTGGTGCAGTAGCACACTCACGGCCACTGCAGCCTTGACCTGCTGGACTCAAGTGATCCTCCCACCTCAATCTTCCAAGCAACTGGAACTACAGGCACATGCACCACTCCGGCTAATTTTTTGATTTATTGTAGAGATGAGGTCTCACCATGTTGCCCAGGCTGGTCTCAAACTCCTGGGCTCAGGCAATCCTTTCGACTTAGCCTCCCAAAGTGCTAGGATTACAGGTTTGAGCCACCATGCCTAGCCGGTCCTGGTCTTTCTGCTCATCTCTGTCTCTCCTTGTCTCCGCCTCTCTCCATCTGCCCTCTCACCCCAGCCTGGATTCTGACCCATTCCCACCACCAGACTCCCAGCGCATCCCCACAGTGTGACGCCCCCCTCAACTCCGTCCTGGGCGCACCCACCCTCAGATAAACTTAGGGTCATCTCTTCACAACCTGGGGCAGGACAGGACACAGGTGAGGCCACAGGACAGAGGACAGAGGGGGGCCTCCCCTACACCCCCTCCTCCATCAGCCTCCTGGGCCCCATCCCCCAGCACCGCCCCCACCCCTGGCCTCCCACCCCTGCAACCTGAGTCACATCTGGCAGCTGTGAGGTCCGAGCCCTTCCTTCTTGGCCTTCTCTGTCCCCTTGGTCAGAGCTGCCGGTCCCCACACAGGACGGAGACAGGGTTAAAAGACGAGACGCCACTGAAAAGAACTGTCGACGGTGAGACAGTGGAGGCAGAGACAAGGACACAGAGATGGAGACACAGAGACAGGGAGACAGAGAGAAACAAAGATGGAGAGCGAGAAGAGAGAAAGCACACAAGGAGAGAGGGACAGAGAGAGGGGGAGAGAGACAGGGCACAGAGCCACAGACAGGGTGACAGATGGCCAGGGAGAGGCAGAGGAAGAGGGGTCCAGGGTCAGAAGAAAATCAAGGTCAGAGAAAGAGGGAGATGACAGGACCAGAGAATGGCAGAGATGGGGTCTGAGAGAACCAGAGAGAGAGAGAGAGATTTGGGTCAGAAAGACAGAGACAGGGAAAGAGACAGAGACAGGGCCAGAGAGAGACAGAGACAGACATTCCTGACTCTTCATCATCCTCACCGCGCCCCTCACCTGCCGGGCTCTGCGGTCACACCCGCCCCCTCAGGTGACCTCATCCGGCCCCAGGCTCTAAACATCACCTCTCCCCATGACGCTGCCTTTCTCCCCAGCCCTGACCTCGGCCTGCACCTCGCTGGCAAACCCCACACCCCAAC